GAGAGAGAGAGAGAGAGAGAGAGAGAGAGAGATGTACACATATGCATATTGATTGAAATAATCAGATGCAAAAATGTTTTGGTTTTTTTATTTTAATTTATTTTATTTTTTGTTTGTTTGTTTGCTTGCTTCTGACACTATTGCATGATTGGTCAAACTGACGCAGGAACATTATTGCTGTTCCTCAGAAACAAACATAACAGGAGCGTTAAAAGGATGGTTTCTCTCATGCTGCTTCAAGGTCAATGAATTCTTAAACAATACATGAATACAAATTGTGCTCAAATTTTATGACGAATGAATAATTGTTTGGTTGTTGCTTTAATATACGTGAGGTGGCCTATCTTAATTTCCATGGTGCTCCATCTGTAAGGCTAATGTGTTAAATATTAACATAATTTACTTCAGGATTTGTGATGTATTCTCTATTCTTAAAACAAACAAATACATAAAAATGTGCTCACTGGCGCCCCACCTGGCACCAGAGAAGCACTGCACTAAAGTCTCAATATCACATCTAGGCTGGGCTGATATGATGTCCTAAACAACTTTCTACAGTTGATTAGTTATAGCCATTTACTACCTTTAACTCATTGTTATCCTTCTACTACTATAGTAGCTACTACTATATACTAGCATTTGTAATGGAACATCTTGTACTTTATTTTAGATATTTTAAAGTTTTAAACCAGTCTGTTCCTGTTTTGAACTGAACACATATCTATATTTGAGCTGTTGCCAGGCATAAAAGCAAGACATATGAGTCAACAGAAGGTTAAGTCAAAAGGTGATAGTTTCAGTTCTTCATTAGGTGATAAGTTTTTTTCTTATCATGCCTGAAGATGTTTGCAGCTCTCACAGACTGTGTATAAAGCTGAGAGGGACAGCTTCCTCCTCAGTGCACTCATGCAGACTGCTTGTCACTCTGTTTGACCCGTGCTCATTTTATTGCAATAAAACAAACTCAAAGACCATTTCTGTGAAGAAACTTTCTTGATCACGTATTTCTGTGTAAGTACTTGATCATAAGATACCTTTTCCACAACACGTTTAGTTAGTGTTTGGTTTCTTTTAGTTTTTAGACTTGTCCGAGTCCGAACCCACGTTACGTCAGGCGTTAAATAACCGCCAAATCTTTAATGCGAGTTTGCTCCATGTGGTGCCCCTGCAGGAGAGAGCAGCTGAACGACTGTACTTTCACAAAAGCTTCACTTGTTCCATGTTTTCGAAGCACTTCTCTCATGCAGTCTGCTGTTTCCTTTTGTTTTACCAATTAGAATGAACATTTCATGATGTGAAAGTATTGACTGTAATTGGATTCATATCTGGATCTGGACTGGATTTATGATTTGGACATGTTGGTTTTTATTTTTTAAACCAACTGAACTGAATGAAAATGGACACTTTCCTGAGCATCTTCTCTGAGGCATTATGGATGCAGATCAGACAGCAGCATACCCTCTGGCCACGTCTCAGCTTTAAAACTATCCCCACGACCCATCAGAATGCATAAGTCGCCACGTTTCCCCGCTGTTCCTTCAGTGCGAGATGATTATGGATTTCTTGTGAAGTTGCAAAAGAGTCTGTGGGGGAAACAAAGCAGTTACGCTCCGTCCTCCGAGTTTCCTGCTGAGGCTGAGTGCCGGTGATCCTCTTATCCCAGCTTGGATCTTCATAGATAACACAAATCTACATTAGGGTTTGAGCTTATCAATAAAAGGTTCCCAGAATTCGACACAAAAACCCCACCGGTAATGACCGCCGACAGCCGAGATGCAGGAATCTGCCTTATTCAACCAGAGCCGTCGTTTTTGGCTGCAGACGTTGTTGAGATCAATTGGATTTTCTGATTGCCTTAATAACTCCCTGCTTTGCTTTGACTATAACGACTACATGTATCAAAACTCCCCGAGACATAATTGGTAGGAGAAGCGCTTCAGACCGCCACATCTGACACTTTTAGATTTATGGTTGACTGCTACTCACCCTGCGGGCCAATTGTGGGTTGTCTTGATGAATGGGAATAGGTGATCTTAGGTGATTCTGAAGCAATGCAGTCCCAGAAGGGCTCTGAGAAGGAAGCACTTTAAAAGAAACAAAACGGCAGACGCCGCTGCACGTAATCTCTTTTTTTAGGCACAAAGATTTTTAGCTCTTAGGGCTTATTCACTTCTTATGCCGGATTGAATCTTTCTGAGTGGAGTTTGCACGTTCTCTCTGTGCATGTGTGGGTTTTCTCTAACTCCTCTTTCCTCCGACAGACCAAAAACATGCTTGTTAGGTTAAATGGCAACTCTTAAATTTTCCTAAGGTTTTGTTTGTCTCATTTTATGTGCAGGGTCCGGGGTGTCCCCGCCTCTCGCACAGTGACTGCCAGACATGGGCACCAGTGAGCCTCGTGACCCCAATTCCAATGAAGTTGAAATGGGTGAAACATAAATAAAAACAGTATGCAATCATTTGCAAATCCTTTTTAGCCTATATTCAATTAAAAACACTACAAAGACGAGATATTTAATGTTAAAACGGATTAAGATTATTGGTTTTCTGCAAATATTGACTCATTTTGAATTTCAAGCCTGCAACAAGTTAAAAAAAACTGGCACGGGGGCGACATAAGAGTGGTAAATTTGAGGAACCTATTTGGAACATTCCACAGGTGAACAAGTTAATTGGAAACAAACAGGTGAGTGCCATGATTGGGCATAAAGGGAGCATCCTCGAAAATTGGGGCGAGGTTCACCACATTGTCAACAACCGCAGGAGCAAATAGTGCAACAGTTTATGAGCAGCATTTCTCAACGTACAATCATCTACAGTCCGTAATATCATGAAAGGTTCAGAGAATCCGGAAAAATCTCTGCAAGTAAGCAACAAGGCTGAAAACCAACTTTGAATGCCCGTGACCTTCGATCCCTCAGGCGGCAATGCGTTAAAAACCGATATCAATCTGTGAGAGATATTACCACATGGGCTCAGGAACACTTCAGGAAACCAAAGTAGGCCGACACAGTTCGTTGTCAGACCTGTTTCCCATTGAAAATGTGTGGCGCTTTATGAAGTACAAAACACAAGAACGGAGACCCTGGACTGTTGAGCAACTGAAGCTGTTCAGGATAGAATGGGACGGACTTCAACAGTTAGTGTCCTCAGTTCCCAAATGCTTGTTGACGTTGTTAAAAAGGAAATCAGACGTAACCCAGAGAGAGGTAAACATGACCCTGTCCACGCTTTTTGTGACATGTTGCCGGCATCC